CAATGTGTATGTACAATGATGATGATGATGATGATAATGATGATGATGATGATGTGTGTAAATGACTATGATTGAGAAACGCATGCTTCTGTCTACAAGTGAGAGTTTGTGTGTAATGTCTGTTTGATGTAGATGTAACAAAAAACTTGAAAAAAAAAACAATATAAAAAAAAAAAAAAAAGGAGTTAAGGTCTATTCTCTGATGCACTATTTTCTTGTATTTAATTGTCTTTGCTGCAAAGTGTCAAACTTACACAACTAATTTATATTTATAATTATGTCAAAGGTCTGGAATTAGATATAAATCATGATGAAATATTAGCAACAATAGATAAACTGATATGCGTATACGCTTCAAGTATATAGCAATCAGAGACAGGCGATATAGCTACATGTATATATTGTTGCATGAACGAGTGGTATATTTCAACGTAATTAATATCGTACTACAGATTAGTGTAACCCGGTCAATATTTGACCATTGGATCCTTAGTTAGTTATCATCATGTCCTAGCTCAGTGACTATAATACTAGCATGCTAATCCAGTGTCTTAACTTAATAATATAATGTCTTAATGTTGTAACCTGCGATGTCTAAACTTAATAACCTACGATGTTTTAACTTAATTACCTACGATGTCTTACTTAATTACCTACCATGTCTAACCTAGTAACCTACCATGTCTAACTTAATTACCTACGATGTCTTACTTAGTAACCTACGATGTCTAACTTAGTTACCTGCGATGTCTAAACTTTATAACCTACGATGTCTTAAGTTAATAACCTACGATGTCTAAATTAATTACTTACGATGTCTAACTTAGTTACCTACGATGTCTAACCTAGTAACCTACCATGTCTAACTTAATGACCTACGATGTCTAAACTTAATAACCTACGATGTCTTAAGTTAATAACCTACGATGTCTAAATTAATTACCTGCGATGTCTAAACTTAATAACCTACGATGTCTAAATTAGTTACCTGCAATGTCTAAACTTAATTACCTACGATGTCTTCCTTAGTAACCTACCATGTCTAACTTAGTTACCTACGATGTCTAACTTAGTTACCAACGATGTGTTAACATAATTACTTACAATGTCTAACTTCAAATTCATTTATTGACTTTGAGCTTTACAGCTCATCAGTATGTTCACAATACATATAAATACAGTGGCAGACACTGCAATAACGCAGTGGAGAATGGACAAAAAATGCATGTAGTTACATATATTTTAACATTATATCATGCTATTCCTCAACTGGGTGGCATCATATATATATTTACTTAACATAGTTAATTCTTTAACGTTCGTTGTGCTTAATAATTGAATCAGCTTGAAAACAGATGGTTTTTTCCAGTAGTACAATTTTATACGTCTTTCTCTTAAAACTTGATAAAATGGACAAATGAACAAAAAATGGTATTCGTCTTCAATATCTTCAGAGTTACAAATTCTGCATATACGTTCATTTCTTACAATGTTTCGATATCTCCCGGTTTCAATATACAGCGTATGCGCTGATAAACGTAACCTAGTTAGAGCAATTCTATTTCGCTTTGGAATATATTTACATAAATATTGTTGTAATGTTAAATTATCAACTAAATGTCTATACAAAAAACATTTCGAGGAATTCTCTAATAATTCAAACAATTCTTGCCGTGCGTTATCAAAGATTCTCTGTTTAATAATTGGCAGGGCTTCAGACGAGTTCACATTATTTTGATTCAGCCACACTTCGCCAAGACCGAGTGAAAAAAGTTTGTCTTTCACAAAAGTTACCCAATTAAAAACAGTATTTCGCTTTGGCATATACATGAGTTCATCATAGGCAGTTTTAAGAACACAGTTCTTAGTATTTAAAAGCTTGAACCAGTACTTAATTAAATTATAGTGTCTGGTATGTACAATCGGAAATCTACCCAATTCAAAATAGATCATTACATTACATGTTGACTTCTTAACACATAATATCCTTTTGCAAAATTCCAGGTGAACTTTCTCAATATCTATGCCTTTGCACGAGCCCCATACCTCAGATGCGTAACACAGTATACTGGTAACATATGTGTCAAAAAGTTTAATCAAAGTATGGCAGTTTAAATTCATATTTTTACATTTTGTATATAAGGCAAATACTGACTTTCGACCTTGCCCGGATAATTGCTTTTGTACAATATTAAATTTATTGTTCCATTTAAAATCAATACCTAGATAAGTAAACTGTTCAACGACTTCTATTTTTTTTCTATCGAAGAACCATTCCTCGTTATTTCGTAAGCGGCCTCCATTTCTAAAGACAACAATCTTAGTTTTTGCCGTATTAACGGTCAATTTCCATGAGTTCGCATATATAGACAAACTATTTAACATATTCTGTAGCTCATTGGCTGATTCTGCAAGTAGCACCAAATCATCCGCATACATTAATAAAAAGAGACTGAGTTCTCCAAAATCATACGGTTTAACACCGTTAGCAATAAAGTCATTTTCAAAGTCATTTACATACATTGAAAACATAATTGGGGATAAAATTTCCCCTTGGGCGAGACCCATGTTGTTTGCAAAAAAATCGGAACATCTTCCCTTAGATGAGACACATGTCTTAACTTTTTTATACATGGCTTTCAAAATTGATAACAGCCTTCCTCGAACTCCTAATTTTGACAATTTATACCACAATTTACAACGATCGACGGAGTCGAACGCTTTCTTATAGTCAACAAAACAACAATATAAACGTTTACTATCATTTAGAGATTTTGTAATAATGGCATGAAGCGCGAAAATGGCGTCAACCGTACTTGTTCCAGGACGAAAACCAAACTGTGCATCTGTGATAATGTCATTCGACTCCGACCAGTCTACTAGTCTTTTATTCAGTACAGATGTAAAAAGTTTCGCCATACAGCTCAGGAGACTTATTCCACGATAATTATTAGGATCGTTTTTATCACCTTTTTTAAACACCGGGACCATCACCGCTTTAGACCATTCTTCAGGGAAACATCCAGAGTTAAATACATTATTAAAAATAGTATGTAAGGCTTGTAGTAAAATGTCACCAGCTTCAATAAAATATTCGTTTAGTAAACCATCTAGACCATGCGCTTTTTCTCGTTTTAGACGCTTGATAGCACATTTAATTTCGTCTGTAGATATACTACGGTCAAGTTCATCAAACACAGTGTTCCTATCAACATTTTCTTCTACATAATCATTATCCGACGGGTCGAGATTCGTGGCTACCTCCTTGAAGTGATTAAAAAATTCATCCAACGACACATTTGAAACAGTGGATTTTGTACTTGAGAATTTTTTATAAAAATAACGTGGATTGGTTTTCTGTAAGTGTTCCATCATATCTCCCTCGACCTTCCTATATTGCCTTTTACATGCGGCTTCAGAACGTTTGTATTCCCGTTTCCTTCGTATTAAAAGATCATGGGTTTCATCACATTTATTTCTGTTAAAATTAT